CATATTCAAATATTTTTCAAGAAGAAAAACAATAAAAACACATATTTACGGCTAGAGGGGGTGGCTCACATCTGTAATCCTAGCACTCTGGGAGGCCGAGGCGGCGAATTGCTCGAGGTCAGGAGTTCGAAACCAGCCTGAGCAAGAGTGAGACCCCGTCTCTACTAAAAAATAAAAAAAGAAATTAATTGGCCAACTAAAAATATATAGAAAAAATTAGCCGGGCATGGTGGCGCATGCCTGTAGTCCAACTACTCGGGAGGCTGAGGCAGGAGGATGGCTTGAGCCCAGGAGTTTGAGGTTGCTGTGAGCTAGGCTGATGCCACAGACTCTAGCTTGGGCAACAGAGTGAGACTGTGTCTCAAAACAAACAACAACAATAAAAAAACAATGAATGAAACCTAGATTACAGGCTGGGCACAGTGGCTCATGCCTGTAATACTAGCACTTTGGGACCCCAAGGCTTGAGGCCAGGGCAATGGCAAGACCCATCTCTACAAAAAAATAAAAAAATTAGCTAGGCGGTGGCTCCTGTAGTCCTGGCTACTCAGGAGGCTGAGGCAGGAGGATGGCTTGACCTGGGAGTTTGAGGCTACAGTGAGCTATGATGTCACCCTGCACTCTACCTGGCAACAGAGTGAGACCCTATCTCAAAACAAACAAAAACCTAGATCATATTTTTCTTTTACCAATGCCGCTATGAAGGGTCCCAAGACTGTCATCATGTGGCTCCAAGATGCAACAGGAGAGGCCAGCATCTAGACATTCTTGAGGAAAGCAACCGGCAACACATGCCAAGGACCACGAACATGCTGTCACTCAGAACTGAGCAAAGGTCATCCAGACACCCAACTTCACGGTTCTATCTCTAGGAGATGGATGAGCAGGGGACTTCCCTGCCTGATCAATACTGGTGATTGATTTCTACTCATGAAACACACGACAAAAATATACCAAAATAATTCCTGAAAATATTTGTTTCCTTTATCTTAAATTTTCACTTACAGAAATCTAAGAAACACCAACAAAGTATAATGCAATAAGATGCTCAATGAAGAATTATTTACGACAGTGAAAAACATGGAAATAACTTTACTATCTAACAAAAGAGATCCTAATGGGCCAGACAGAACGCGATGCCTCCATTTAGAATTATAACTCCAACGATGGTTCAGTTACTGGGAAAAAAAATTCTGCTATGCAGCTAAGAGGGAAAAAAGATTAAAAAAATGATAAACTATGTTTAATGTAAAAACTCTAATATGAACAAAGCAGAAGGTAATGCTTTATCAAAGTGCAAAATGCAGTTTTATTAAGAATTATGGGCATCTTTATTTTTCTTAAATCTACATTTTCTGAAGTGTGATTGTTTTGTCTTCATGTTTTAAAAAGCATACCAAAGCATTTCATCAGCTACAGCACTCTATACAGATGTATTACCACTGCGGGGCAGCTTATTCTTGCTTCAGACTGAGTAGAAGAGACACTCTAGATTAAGTCTGTCTTCCTATCCCTGGAGAGCGTGGCCATGGGGAGGGTCACCTCTCCTGGGGTTTGTATAAGGGTCCCATTTGGGCTGGCCACAGAGCCCACCCGACTGTGCTGTTAGTAACAGACGGCTCTGCAGTAGAGCTATTTACACAAGGTACGTCCAGGAAATTCACTTTTTCCAAATGCCCACCATCCAAGATTATGCTGCCCTCCAGAAACTGCCCTTCGTGCCTTGGCTCGGGCTCATTTTCTTAACACACTCGCTGGTCCTTGTGTGTGCCATGTAGCCCCCACAAGCCAACTCTGCAAAAGTGAGTCTACATGTTCATGAAATGTTAATTGTTCTCCCATTTGCTGAATGGGGTTTATTTCATAACAAAAGATGATATATATGTTGGAAAATCCTTTACATATCCAATAAAACTCCATAAGAGATGTGTTGTGTAGAACAGTGTATTGAAGAATAGTGAATCATAAGACGGAATGAAATTTCATATGAAGGAGAAAAACAGTCACAACAGGGACTAATACGTTCTTAATCATGCAATCAAAATCAAATATGAAAGTGATGGTGGAAGACCCAATGAGGGCCAGGTTGTGGGACATAGCGTCAGAGAGCAGCAGGGAATCGCACCCCTGCCCCTCAAGCTGGCTGGGTGGGCTTCCATCGGAACATCAACGACTTGCAATGTTCAACTTCCCCACCGCAGTGCACTTCTCAGATTACTCTGAGAAATTAAATCAAAGATATGGTGAAAGGGTTTAAATTGCAAGAATTATTTATAGGACATTTTGATGTCAATAAAAACAATATACTAACTGTAGGAAGAAAATGATTACGCCATCAATAGTGTTTTTGAAAGATAGGTTTAGGCCAGGCCAAGTGGCTCCGCCTGTATCCTAGCTTGCTGGGAGGCTGAAGGCAGGAGACTGCTCAATCAGTCAGGAGTTCGAAACTAGCCCTGAGAAAGAGCAAGATCCTGTCTCTACTATAATACTACAGAAATTAATTGCGCCACTATATATATAGACAAAAATTAGCCAGGCATGGTGGCAACATGCCTGTAGTGTCCCAGCTACCTTCGGGAGGCTGAGGCAGGAGATGCTGAGCCGAGAGAGTTTTGAGGTTTGCTGTGAGCTAAGGCTGATGCCACGGCACCTACCCGGCCACAGAGTAAGAACGTCCTCACAAAAAACAAAAAAAAGATTTATACATGGAAAATGTAAATTATAAATGGAAAGGATAAAAATATGCATGAATAAATCTAGTTCTTTTTTTTTAAAAAAAGCATATTATAACATGCAGAGAAAAAGAATGGAAGGAACTACTTAAAGTTAACTATACTGAATTGCCCAGGTAATGACATGAACTCAAACTGAGAGTCAATTTTGTATTCTTATAAAATTTTTGTGATTTCTCCCAATGAGTTTTCTTTGATATACAGTACTTTCATATAACCAGCGGGAAACGTTTATATATAATAAAAGTAAAATATCGAGAGTCCAAATGGAAAGAGGAAACAAGCCACCCATATTCAAATTATTTTCAGAAGAAACCAATAATAACAAATTTAGGCTAGAGGCGGTGGCCACATCTTATCTACACTCTGGGAGGACGAGGCGGGCGAATGC